TTCCTTCACATTCAGCAGCTCAGGAAGAAGCGACTGAGAGCTTTCTGCAGCCGATCAGGCAAAGTCACCATGCTGCCGAGGAACCGGGAGGAGAGAGCCCACCTGCTCTCAAGTTTGAGGGTAAGCAGCAAGTTGGACCTCCTCTACTGCCAAGTGCCATCGACAGGGATGGAGGAATGGCAGCAGCTTTTGCAGAAGCTAGAGAAGGAAAACGTGACTCTCCCAGTGCCGCTTCTCTACCCTTGGCGGCACGCTCCGGAGACACAACTGAGCAAGTACAACCTGACAGAGATAGAGGCCATGTTAGGGTCCTACACCAAAGTGCTCTTTGTCAGGGACCCTTTCCAGAGGCTGATCTCCACGTTCATGCAAGGCATGGGCAGCAGCCCTTCCTTCAGCAGCTTTGTTCAGGATGTTTTAGACAGTGAACAGCACAACACCAGCACGGCTTGGAAACCGCTCGTCAGCCTCTGCCGACCCTGTCTCATCCAGTATGACTACGTGGTGATGTTTGGTTTCCTCAGGCAGGAGTTGGGTCATCTGCTGCAGCGAGCCGGGCTGCCTGTGGACAGCCTCCTCCGCGAGTTCACCGACACCCAAGCACGGTGGACGTACAGCTGGTTATCAGAGCAGATGTTCAGCGAGCTGTCCCTCCAACAGAAGCAGCAACTGTCTCATTTCTACCGCTGGGATCTTGCTGCTTTCCCATTTTCTAGCAGTTTTCTGTCAGGCCTCCTCAGCACCCCAGAGACCTAGTAGAAATACCCCAGCTGGAGGGACTGCTTTGGAGAGCGTCAATCCAAATGCAAGTGCTTTGAGATACTGGCTGGGTCATAGGCAAACCCTCGCTCCACAGCTGCATGCAGCACACTTGTCCATGTCACAGCTCCCAGAGGCACATCAGAGAGCCGAGATGGACCCGCTGCCATGGACAGGGTATCAAGGCTCTTCACGTGGCTGAATTGTTTTTAAATACAACAAGAGTAGGCACAAGGGTAACGCGTGGCTTTGGGGCTTAGAAAACTGCATGAACTGAACTGCGATGGGGTGAATGGCTCTCAGCAAACCTAGTGCTTTGGGGTGGAGGGGCTTGGACCTGCTGCAAACCACAGCAGCATCCGCATGTACTGTGCCTGCACTGCCATTTCACGCTCTGGGCTCCCTTTTGGGCCAAGAGGTTTGGTAATGGCCTCTTTAGGACAAATCTCCCCATGCAGGTGACTAGAAGCGCTCCCAAAGGCACATGTCACCTGAAGTCTGTCTACTCTGCACAAGTAGGTGAGGCATGACACAGGGCAGCAGACCCTCCCGGGGAACCACTGCTGATGTTCCCAATCCTTTCATGCTCAAGGAAGGCCAGGCCCAGCCCGACCCATCATTTGGTCTTATCTGTTCTGTGTGAACTGTTCCTGTTTTATGACCTCACATCTCCTGCATGTTTAGGCTCAAGAGGGCCCCAGGGATGCGACACGATGCTTTCTCCCTATGCAAGTTTTGAGTGAGGTTCCCCCCTTTACAGGGCTGACTCAAATGGGCCAAGCCTGGCTTTCAGCTCTACTCACCAGCAATGAGACAAGGACACAGCAGTCTGGACCAGGCACTAGCCGCACCACACCAACAGCCAGCCTTCCACCTCGTCTCAGCAGCTGGTGGGCCAGGGGGAGGTGGGTAGAAGCATCAGGACGCATCACTGCGCTGCTGTGGAAAACATGATGTGGCTACTTGTAAGCTCCTCCTGGCAGAGAAGTGCAAGGACTGGCTCTGCTTTCTTTCAGACTTGGCCGCCAGCATGGCCCGGGTGGAGGCCCAGGCTCTCCAGCTGGCTTGCCAGATGCATCTGGCTGGTAGCCTGGAGCAGCCACCAGCCCTCTCCCAGCCCTGGCCACTGAGCTGATCTGCCTTGCAGCCTCTGGGAAGGGTCCATCTTTGCCAAATGCCAAGGAGGAGCTGAAGTTGTCCAGCTCCCAAATCGTGACAGACTTTTACCATCGCATACTAGTTTCCGGAATATTTTTTACCTTTATTTTGCAATTTTGTGACATCCACATAGAATTCCACATACATTCATGTGACAAAGACATCAATTTGACAATGCTCATTAAAGAATGATAAAGAAGATGGTGAAAGCTGTTGATTAGAACTGATGTAAAACAATTACACCAAAACCTCCCTCTCTCATCAAGGGACATGCGATTAATAGCATAAAGACATCAGATCAGATTGTCCCCTTTCACCCTCCCACAAACTATCCAGCTACAGCATCATTACTTAAGTGCTGATATTGTGCGTAATACTTTACAGTCTAGCAAGATGGCGCAGTTCCTCTTCTGAGGATACAGTTCTGGAAGGAGAGAAGTGGCAAAATTTCCAGTTATACAGAACATTAGAGTCATGCTACGAAAGGAACATTTTTCTCTTTGTAAGTAGCTTTCCCTTTAGCGATCGCAAGCCGAAATCCCACGCAGCGAGATGCACGCGAAGAGATCTGAGGCAGCACCTAGCAGAGGAGAGTGCTGTGTGCTCACAACAGGAGAGCTGTTCTCGGACAGCTTTGTAGTGCAGACCGCAGTTTAAGTCAGGCTACCTCAGAGCAGCAGCATCTCTTCCTGCCAGCCCTCCACAGTGGGTCCCAGTCCTTCCCTACGGTTCGTGGCACTTAGTTCCATGGGAAAGCAATGCATGAAATATTAAGACACTGGGAAGTGAAATGAAAATCTCAGCTTCATGTTCCTTGGGGTCTCTGTTTCACCCACGGCCCAGCCAGGTATTACATTGTCATCTCCAATTAGTCTTCCCTTTTTCCTACACCCTCAAAACCAGTTTCAGTAATTACTTTGCAACCCTGATTTTATACCATTGTCGTGTGTCCATCGTGTCCCCGCCCTTGGATGTTTGGTATCATTTACGTTGAAGTCCAGTGCACCCTAAAAGGAAGGGGTTTCCTCCTCCCATCAGCTAGTGGCTGTGGAAGGGTACCAAGAGGGCCCTGAGCTGGGGTGGGCTTGAGGACAAGGGCTGGTTGCCTGGGAAACAGTGGCTCACTGATGCTGCAGCAAAAATGGCCCCACAGGCTAAAGGTCTGCGCTGAACTAGCCTGCTCTGACCATTGCATCACTTGGCAAATACACTTCAAATTAACATACAAAACATAAAAGAGACTCGATACATCTAATTTCAAAAATTTCACCTGAGCAGGTGGTCACTGTGGCTATGTGAGACACCGCAAGCCCTTTCTGAAATGATGAAAAAGGTGCTCCGAGACCCACAGGGGACAAAGAGTGTCCTGCTAGTGACATCCCATTGCGTCCCAGGACCCTCGCAAGGAGCAGGCCTCTCATGAACGCTGGCTGCTTTCTCCTGAGATGACGCTGGAAGCTCCTTGACATCACACCCTGCGCCTGTAGCTCCCCGTGTTCTGCATTAACACATACTATGTTCCCTTTGTACTACTTCTCAGCCTGTCTGAATGAGCACGTCCAGCGATCCCATGAGGTGGATGCCACAGAAACAGCGACGGTACCAATCTACCTTACAGACTTTGTATTTTGCATCCCTTCCTGTACATCCAAGAACATGAATACACAGGGTCCGATAGCTGTTCTCGCACACAAATGATCACATTTTCTTCTCCAAGAGGTTTTTGACCTATTGCTGACTTTCAGGAGAAAACAAAAATATGTTCTTGCCCGGTACTTCAGAGCTTAAGAAACATCAATATCGTATTTCAATTAATAAAACAATTACGTAGCAAGCCCAGCAGGCACAAAATACTTTCTGCAACTCACATATACAAATACCCTTCTTCTAGATGGTAGAACCAAAATATTTTAAGATGAGAAATAGATCTACTCATTTCCAAGCTATATACCCTGCAGTGCTTCAAAAAAATATTTCAAACTGTGCATACATTGTTATGTTGTAAGATGGAGGGCAATTTTAAGCACTTTGTATGTGAGCAAAATTTCATATAAGGCAATGGAGTTACATCCTCCCGCATCATATTTTTTGATGGCCCTAGGAGTGCAAAAATAGAAAAAGGACATTTTCATAAAGCTGTGGGCCAGACATATGGATAAAAGTTTGCACGTGATGACCAGGTACGGTACATGGCTGATATCACCTAGAGATAACACGATGCTACAGTGTTAAATCTGACAGTGACAAAACCTGTGAAGAGGGATGCCCAGCGTTAAATGCATTCAACCCAGGAGGCATGAGGTCATCACATAGTCAGCACATTTTTCAGACAAGCAAGTCCCTGTAGCAAAACGTACCCATTCTCTTACATTCAGAAAATCTAAGAGTTGTCTTGAAAAGAAGGCAAGGCCATAGCATGACAGCAAGGGATTTACCCTAGAGGGCACCCAGAGCCAACTAATCCTCAGCTGTGTCTATCCTCCTCCTGTCCCTTGCCTGGCCTTGGGAACAACGATGAGTAACTTTCTCTGTTACTCCAAGGTCTCTGATGTCCTTTCCTATTTAAAAGATAGGGAAAGATGTGGAGGTATGGGGCAGGAAAAGGCTGTGTCAAACGAAGCAGTATCTTGCTGGAAGTCCTCTTGGTATCTAGTTTTTACCTTTAATCACAGAAGACGAGGTAGCAGGTGAACTAAGAATTCATTAAAGCCCCAGTGCAGACAAAGCAACTGTCATTTAACTTCAGATAAATCAGCTATTGGTAACATTTTAGGGTTTCCCTCTGAACCACTTTTGTTACATAGCTAAGAGCATCTTCGTTAGCTAACCTCAAAACTCCTCCTCATCCTCCTCTATAGTTTGTATCTAGCTTTGTGTGCAGAGGGGACACAACCGGGTACAGCCCTCAGTGCCTCTCATGCCTTCCCCCATCTCAGCTAGAGGACTGTTTGTCTGGGTTTGATTAATTTAAGTCCTTCTTGGCATAGCATCACAAGGTGATCCATCTTTTCTCCACAGTGGGGGGGGGGGGGAAGAAACAACCACCCTGCCATTTCACATCGGCTGGTAAATAAGCATGTTTTCCATCCTTGCAGCAATTTTAAATGAAACCTGTAAGATTTTTCAATTACACTTGGATAACATCACCTTCTACTTACTCTTCATTTGAATTTACAGCACAGCTATAATCTGGCAGCAATTCCCTCTCCTAGAGAAAGCAATGATTGGACAATTAAATGCGAAAGCTCCATGAATCAGTGGATGAACCATATGAACACAGATTTATTTTTTTTTCCATTACAGTCCTACTTCCTTGTGGTCCCTCTGGTGTAAGCTCAGTTTCACGAGGAGAGTTTGCTCCTCAAACGTCCCTTTTACACACGCACAGACCATGGTTTAAATGTCCCTGGCTCAGCAGACGGGCACTGTAAAGAAAAAAAAAAAGTTAGCAACAAATGAGGGTCCTGGCCTGGGTTCGGCACGCCCCACCACATTCCCTTTGAGGTGGGTGACTTTGTACCATCGAAGATCTGAGCTCATATCTCAGTCTTTGAACACACAGAGATGTCTGTCTCAGGGCACTTCTGTTAGGGGATGTGCCTGGCTCTAGCTGAAGGCCTGATGGCCAACAGTTTGTTGCAAATTCTCAAAACCCTTTCTGAGTCCTTCTCCCCAGACAGTGATGCAGGTGTTGGGTGAGAAGGACAAAGATACTAGGTTTTGCTGTTAACCACAGTGGGGTTGAAGATGATGAAAGCCTGGAGGATGCCCACATGGAGAGACAGCTGTGTTTTCCAAGTCAGACAGGAATGAGCAGAACTCTGTGCAGGGACCCACTCCTACACAGCTCTGTCACAACACTGTAACAGAGGAGGAGCCCATGAAGAGACAGTGACAGGGTTAACTCCTGCACTCCTTCAGATCAAGCCCACAGTCTCTAAGGAGACTCCTGTGGTCATAACATTCAAGAGAAGTGAGCATTTTGAGTAACACTTTCCTCTCCCTCCCTCCCTGAGGGACACCAATAAATCACAGAGTGGACCTGCAAGATATGTTAGTGGCGGTGATCCCCTAAGAGATAATAGTCAGGAGCATCAGGACAAGTCATCAGTGCCTCTGTTCTACAGACAGCACTTGGAGGATGGAGGGATGAACTGCAACTTCACTGATACTGAATGGCAGCCCTTCCTACAGTGGGAGTCCTAGCAATGCTAGTCTAGATTTGTGTCTCATTTGGTGGCATGTTAAATGAAGGATAACACTCATGAAATAAAAACCCATCTGCTTAAGCAGGGCCACAGCCTCCCCATCCTGCCGTAATTCCAAACCTGGGCTGCTATGACCAGCACACACACTCCATGTGGGGTAGGGAGCAGACTGTGAAGCCAGGAGTTGTTACCATTTTGGTGAAGATGTCCACACAAGCATTGCGGATCCTCTCTGGGGTGGCAGGGCTGTCCAGCCTGAATGGTTCAGTCAGGCCAGAGTCCTTCCTCGCTGAGTAGATGGCATCTTTAATGGCATAAAACACTGAGGCAGACAGGAACAGAGGTGGCTCTCCCACAGCCTAGACAGAGCACAAGCAAGAGTGAGGCTGCAGCCCAAAACAGTCCTGGCCCTAGGAAAGCTCATGAGGCTAACAAAGATGAGCAAGCCCTATATGACAATCAGGAGTTGTTTGCATGCCAGATGTGATCAGGAAGGAAAGGCCAAGCCAAAACAGCCCCTTGCCTTCCAGATGTGAACCTCAGTCTACCAGTGAGGAAACACAAAGCTAAGACAAGCCCCAGTCCGTTTAAAGATGAGACAGTAGGGAAGCACAAGCTTTCTGACACAGCGAGGCCCTTATGAAGGAAAAAGGGACTAACCCATTCCCACAACCTTTTGGATAGTGCTAAAATTGCAGCAAAGGGAATTCAGATAAGGCAGTGGTGAATTGTCTGGGCAGACAGCATGATGCTCCATCACTGGAGGTCCTTGCAAACCAGCAGGAATGCTTCCCTCAGGGATTACACAAGTATTATCTAGTACTGAGGTCCCTGCCAGCCCCCTTTTTCTTAATTGTGTCGTCAGCACTAATCACCAAAAAACTTCTCGTCATTGGTGAAGATGTTGCTGTGGATGGAATGGAAATGGGAAACTGTAAAGAGGCAGACCAGGCATATACAGGTAAGGATGCTGGGCGGCCTCTCTAAATGCTCTGCTGAGCCATAAGTAAAGCAAATTCATCAATGCTGTACATCCAGCCCTGCTCCATGCAGCCCTCACTAACTGCAGAGAACAGCACTGACTTCAGTGGAAACAGCAGAAGGGTATGGGGATTAATAATGGACCTTTAAGGGTGACATGAGCACTGTTAAGCAGTAAAGAAAGCAAAACATGGAAACTCAGATGCAAGATCTTGATATACCAGATCTGGGAAAGTGACACTGTTGGAAATGTTATCTGCAGCGGTGGCTCTGCTGCCAGGGAAGGGCAACCAGGGAGCTGACATGCAGGGAGAGGCTGGCAGCCTCTGTTACAGCAGAACTGGCACAGCAAAGCCACCTCAGTTCTCTCTAATGGACAAGCAGGGCAGCAAATGTGTAGGTTATTTCAGTTCTTCCTAACTATAAAGGCTAGTATACATATTTCTGGTAAGCCATGGAAAAACATCCTGACCCCAGAATAAAGCCAGCATAACAAGATTAACTATTTAGACATGTGCATCATTATTTTATCACACTCAGCTTCACAGAATTATAGAGCAGTAAGAGGCCTGCAGATCTTGCAGGTATACCTTGGATGAATAAACCGCCTTGCTGTTTGGACAGTCACGGAGAAGAGACACATAGAATTCTGTTGGGATGTCTCCAAACGCTGGGATTTTGTACATTCCAGGCCCTCGAGTGTACAAATTCCCTTCAGGAGAATAGCGCAGCTCCTCTATGGTGAAAAGTCCAAGGCCTTGGACAAACGCTCCTTCTACCTATAAACACATCCAAAGAAGGTTATATTCTTTTTTTGTTGTTGTTCTTCTTCCCTACATAATTCTATACCTATTGCACAGTTAAGTGTAGGTCAAACTGGTTTTCATAGCTAGCCTAAAATGCTTCATTGGATACCCGAGTTTAAAATGCTCTGCTTGCAAAGGCACAACCTGGAGAGGGATAATGGCTCACCTAGAAAAGCCTGAGTAGTGTAATTGCTTTAACACGGTGGAAATAGCAACACTATTTCACTTACCTGTCCTATATCTATGGCTGGGTTCAGACTGGTACCAACATCCATAACAATGTCTGTGCGAATGTTCTAAAAAGGCAGAAATAAGAATAAATCAGCACAGAACATTGAAACTGGTACATCATGGTCTTGAATAAGGAGGATTAATGTATCCAACCACTTCCCACGCTTGGCCAGTGTTCAACAACATCTCAGCTCGTCTTCATACTGACTGCTAATCTGAGTTCGTCCATAAAGTAAATCAAAGGAACTCATGGCAGGTTTCCCTAGAGATCCAATGGACCCCATTTACGTAAGTTCCAAACTGCTAGCGTCAGTGGTCTGTACCTGACCGTAACCAACTAGGTCAGATTCTGATGATTTTTTTTTTCTTTTTTCTTTCTTTCTAAAAGTCTTCCAGCGCTATTTTTAATGATTAACTCAATTCCAGTATGTTTCTGCTCTTTTGTGCTAACACAGTGCTGCTATCTCTTACTTAAGCAAATCCAATAACTTTTGCAATCATTCATTAAGCCTCCTAATATCCCCACAGGGTAGATAATTATCGTTTTATTATACTTTATGGATTGTTGTACTGTGGAACAGAAAAGTTAAGAAATTTACTGAAGGTCACACCAGACCAATGACAGAGCTAGGAACAGGCTGACACCCAGTATTTGTTCTAACTCCCTGTGAATGTTTCCTTCACCTAACCACAGAGGGCTATTTCACTGCTGACCTCCTCACCTTGTGGTCACCTGTCAGGCAATCTATCTCAACCTCGGAGCAAGCAACGCCATAACTGAAGTAGCAGAATGGTTTCCCTTCATTCTTTTCAAAGTCGTAGCCAAGGTCAGGAATTCTTGATACAAAGAAAAACAACCACATTGCATTCCATGAACAGTCAAAATGGATTCAAATAGTGCAACTTATCGAAATCCTTATTCACTTGTGTTTCATCCCTTCCATCAAGCCCATACAGAAATGAAAAATGTAAACAACTATAAATAGCTGCCCTGTATTCCAAAACTTGACTGAAACTATCAAACTATTTTAGCAATCGTTATTTTCCCATGAATCTCAGGGTTTGTGATAACCATTATTAACTCATTCCCACCAATCTAGTTGCAAATCTGTTGCTTTTAGGGTGCAGTTGAATATTTCTTGGAGGTCGTTAAATTTCAGAGCATAATCAAGTTGAACCAGAAACTGGATTAAGCTAAGAACTGATTTTAAGCACAGTTCACAGTAAACTTTGTATCTGACTACTTATACTTTATCTGAAAACTGGTTTATTAAAATACTGAGTTACTTGATTAAGAGAAAAAACACATTTCAAAGATGCAACAGAAATGAGCTCATATTGTATTTTAGGACTAAACAACACTGTGTTGTTTTTTATGTCAACCCCTCTGCCTCAGAGATGATGGATCTCTTTCTGTTCCTCCAGCGGTAAAGCTGACTAAGAAAAGGGCCTCATTTTGGAACTGCACAGGAACCAGCAAGAGTTTAAAGTGGGAGAATGAAATCGAAAACATGGGCTTCTGCTCATGCCACAACAGACAGCCAATTGCCGTAAGTAGCTTTGTCCTCAAGGACAACCTCTGCCCCCTTTTTCCCTGCGTGACAGTTATAGTGCAACACTCAGTCACGAGGCTGACACGGAACAGAGCCCCCAGCAAAGCTCTCATTTCATTTATGCCTCCTCAGACCTAGGTCAGCTAGAGTGAAGTTAGATCTGCTGCAGATTTACGTGAGATCTGAACCTGGCCCCAAGAGCTCCTTCAGGAACTGATTCTCCCCAGCCAGGAGAGTGTTAACCTCAGCTTAACATTTCTAGGTAGGAAAGGGCATGCATACCTAAGTGAGAGCAGTGACAGAGGGATAGGGGCTGTAAATCCTCCCAGAATTTCCCTGGATGCAATCTGTGCAATCAGGTAAGAGCTGTGGAGTTTGAATATTTACTCACCTATAAAACCCCGTGGCTGACAGGCTAACACAGTTCTCATAGGCAGCGTTAATCTGGCAAAGGGAACAAGAGTTTGAAAACAGTAATTGTCCAATCAGTCCCTGCAAAATACCTACCCCAAACGCATTTCCAGGAGAGCATGAATAGAAGGGATCCTGTGACAGACAGCTGTTACGCTACCCAGAACTAGCAGTGCCAAGGGAAACATCATGATACAGCTGCTTCCCTAGATAGCCTTGTCAGCAGCTGCCAAGGGCAGAACTTGTCCATTGGCAGGGGGATACGACTTGCTCTTGTTTGTTCGGCTCTCAGCTACAGGTTAGACTTTCAACCTCAGAGACAAAGGTTAAACTGACAGTCATCTTGACTTCAGTGAGGCCAGGAGAAATCCTATTCTGACTTCCAAATCACAAAGTCAAAGCTCCTCCTGTGAAGAGAAGAGCTTGGGTCTGAAAATGGCCCGAGAGCCTTACAGCACATCAGTCTCTTATTGTTGACGGTATTGTAGCCAAGGAGCATTACAGGAGGTGGATGGCAGCTCTAAGAGTCATTTTTGTCACAGAATCCCTTCACTACAAATCAGGTTTCTTCCTGTCCAGGACTGTAGCCTGACTAGAAAGATGTATGTAACAACTCTAGACTTTTTTTTTTTTTTTTGTCAAGTTTGTCATAGGCAGGACCCAGGATCTGGAGAAATCCCAGTATTAAAGTCCTAACTGATGTTTTAGGGATGACCTCTTACAATCTTTTCTAACTTCCCTTACCGGGTTTCTGTTTCACCACCTTTGCTCAAATCTTTGATAGCGAGATGCAGAAGGCCTGAAGGATATACCTGCATACAGGGTTTGCCAACTAAAACAATCTCTGACAATGCTCACTTCTCTTGCGACAGATACAAACAGCTTACCCAGTCTTCCCAGGATCCTTTGGGATTAGACTGTTTGATTGGCTCAAGTCTTTTTAAGATAGTCTGACACGCATTCTAAAAAAAAAGAGAGAGAAGCAGTATTTTAAGACTTGAGAAGTCAGTTTATGATATTAAGAGCCCTATAAGAATTTCAAAGAACCTCCTGTTTAAATCAATATTGCCTTTAGGACTCTGGCATATCATAAAAAGGAGCAAAGTTCACTAATAGATGGTTTGCTATATAGGAAGAAATATTGACTGAAAAGGACAAGGGTTTTAAAAGAGTGGCTGTCCTGATAGCAGAAGGGAATCCCAAATACAGCACAGAACTTTCCAGACCACGACACAAAATATCAGAAGTCCACTCATTTATACAGTAACTTTATCTGTACCAACTCATAGCAGGACACCTTAGCATATCTAGCAAGATGATCCCATAACACTGAAACAGAAATAAAAAAATATTCTTGCCAAAATTCAACCTACTTCAGCAAGCTGTGCAGAGAATAGAAACAGCCTTCCCCTTTTCTTTAAACCTAAAAATGACCAGTACTAAATTCCTTTTTTCAATGGAAAGTCACATACTCTGCAAATATATGCATTGGTAACTCTGCCATATCAGCAACAGTCATGACCATGCCATTGCTATAGAAGGATGTTTGCTCTGAGTGTATCAACACTTAAAGGTCTTTGGTTCTGGAGTACAGTCCACAAACCACCTGCTATTAATATTTGCAGCACAATATATTCATTGTAGATAAGAGCACATCAATTACTAAGGAGCTAGCTATTTAAATGAATGCTTCGTTGTTCTGTTCATTTTGAGTAATTACAAACAGTCCATTTTAGAACTACAAAAGGACTGAAGGAGAGTTTCAAACAACTTGGAAAAAAAATACGGTCATTCATCATCTGTCACCACCAGTACTTATAGCAGGTAAAGAAGTTATGAGGTATCCTTAGCCTGGTTGGCCTTTTGATGGTTACAATTTCCTTAAGCAAAAGATAAATACACATCAACTTTTCACATTCTGTAGTCCCAGCTTATAACCCACTAGTTTAAATAACTCAGGTCCCATACGTGGATGGCCATTCCATTGATGTCTGCACTGACAGATGCGGCGGTCGGGGAGGTATTTGGGACAGTGTTTGTGCTGGTTTCACTGATGTAAATCTTGGAGGTGGGGATTCCCAGTGATCTGCTAGCAACCTGCAGAGCAAAGGTAAACAATTGGTAAGCAGCTGCTCTTATAGATGAGCATGATCATTCATTGCTTATGCTGCTAGGATCCACACTGCAATTTCTACCCTCTCCTGTCCTAAATTTCATTTTTCTTGGAGACTCAGTTGATATGGTGACTGAGAGCTAGCCAGAACTTTGTTAAGTTTGCCCTTCACAGACTGAATGTGTGTAAGCACATCAATGTACACTTTTGCCACGATGACAGGCATTTATTTCACTACTGTGGGACTAAATTCTTTTCTTGGTTATAAGATTCAGAGGATAAAAAGCCCTATTAGACTTCCCTTGCATTTCCCTGTCAAAGCAATGCTGTTCCCTTAGGCCTTTTTAACTATAAAGATGTTAGCATATGCAAATAAATACATTTACAATATGACTAATTTTTGCATAAAATATACGAAAACTGTAGTTTTATGGGATGAAAAGAAATTGCCAGAGAATCTAGATTGTAAGTGTAAACCACATTACTATACAATAAAGGTGAGGATGATGAAGATTCTAATTCTAATACTCAATAGTAATAATACTCTGAAAATCTTGCACTGCTGCTGAAACAATTAAGAGGAATTAGGCATGATTTGTTACCATACGCATGCACATAGAGGAAGCATCAAGCTGTGTGAGGGAATACTATACAGTGAGTGTAATTTTCCTGAAAAAATGTCTCATTCTGTTAAGTCCAAATTCATTATTACCTGGATCATTTTGGTGTGAAGTCCTTGACCCATCTCAGTCCCACCATGTGTAAGTAACACAGAGCCATCTGTATACACATGGACCAGAGCTCCAGCCTGTAAAAGGGAACATTAATCCAAGAGTCATCACAAATGAATTAGTGAAGTACCTGGCAGATTGTAGTTACAAACTACAGAAAACACAGCTGCATTGTGGGGTCTTTTGGACAGTATAAATTGGTAATTGTTGTGTTGCTCCTTTTGGTTTGAAAAATGTGTGTTCTTAACTCATTTACTATTTCTCTGAAAAGCTCTAGTTTGGTACAAAGGAAGGAGGGACTGGGGAAGGCAGCATAATCTATCCTCTCTACTGAAGAAATAAATGACACTTACATACCTGGTTCAGAAATGGGACAGTGAAACTGATGCCAAATTTGGTAGGAATAATGCACATTCCTCTCTTCTTCCAACGATTCTGCCTGCAAGGAAACAACATTATTAGTATACTCATGAGGCTTTCATTGCAACTCAATGCCATGCTTCCCTCTAGCTTAAGTATCAAAGCACAAATGAAATACCTGAATGCCATATAGACTGAGTTAATCAGTTTGGTTTTTTTTAAAGATTAGCTTTGTTTATGGGTCCCAACAAGAACAAAGGCAAACTGAAGATGCTCTCCCAGGGCATTACAGAAGCAATTGTCTTGACTACTAACTATTCAGCTGTATATATAAGCCAACCGAAAAAAAACTATAAGGCAGTGGAAAGTCTACACAAATAGCCTTGATATCCATCAGAAAAGTCCAGTTAGACTCAGACACACCTTCCCTTACAAAATCATGTCATGCTAGCTCCGATTCCTGCCTTATTTAAGCTACCAGGTCACTGAAAGAGGTTTCTCTCCACAGTGAGCCTGACGGAATTTCAGAAGGAGAAATTTTTAGAAGTCACTCTACAAATATATGGTCTGACTTCACATCACTTGAGTTGGAGAACTTCAGAAGTTAATATACCCAGTAAAAAAGACAGCTCCAGAACACCTACTTGTTGAATTCTTCAATTAGTTTCTTCCTGGCATGATAGTTAGAGCTTGACATACATTCATCCCAGCATCGTCGTAGAGTAAATCCCTCCAGCTTTTGGTTAAAATGAGTCAGGTCTCCCTCATTATAAAGATTGAGCTTCCGCACCTTCCCAGAGACACATAAAGGACATGCCAAGTTTAATGCTTCAGACTAGGTCTTTTTAACGGATGACATTAAAAGCACATTGGTTCCCAGTTTTACTACTCTGCTCAATCTACAGAACAATAGAATTAACAGACATATATCTATTTATGGGAAAATGGGGACTAAAACATTAAGGCTGGGAATTTTCAAGAGAGACTGGGACTTAAGCACATTGTTAGTAAGAGTAGGGTACCTAGTACCTTTGGACTTTTTTTTCAAATATCTGTCCTTCAAGCAGGTGTTACGCAACTGAGACTATTGAGGGAATTTAAGGAAGCAGAAAATAATCCATGCTATAATGTGGCTGTCATACAGAAAGTTTGAGATCCTGCTAAGGGCTTAGCAAAAAATAAGCAAAAGCTCTTATGCTTAATGATTTTCTGTGGTTGTGTCCAGTTCTGAGCTTGTTCAAAGGTAGCACAGCCCTGAAATGTGTCGGTGAATCTGTACCTCCTCAGGTGGCAGACCACACTTCTGAGCAAGGTCGCTCATCCAGCACTCAGCAATCATCATTCCTTGGGGCCCTCCAAAGCCACGGAAGGCTGTGTTGGAAGGCAAGTTGGTCTTGCAAACAATGCCCATGCTTCTGATGTTGGGGATGTTGTAGGAGTTATCCAAATGTAACAGGGCTCTGTCCATAATCTGGTGAAGAGAAGGAATGGAGATGGACACATTTTACATGAATCACATGTCAGACTTGTCACCAGCTGCCAAAGCCAGGCTGGAAAGCTCTGAAGCTAATTTACAACCACCAGCGCTGTCTCTTGCACCCTGCAGTCAACACAGCTGGATGAGCACTGAGATGCAGCCAGTAATCCCTCCCATTCGCAATGGGGTATCAAGCAGTAACCTCCTGAAGGACAGGACAATAAGCAAATTTCTCTGTTGACACTTATGACCCTGAGACAGACTGAACTTCAAAGTCCTTTGTTGGCCCTAGGCTCATGCTGACCCAAACAGCTACTAAATGCCATTACCCACCTGCAAGAACCAGAATCTTCTTTTAATTATACTGAGTAATCCATTACTGGAAAAGAAGTCTTGCTGTTATCAAGTGATTCAGTCACTGGGCTATGGTAGTAAGGGCAACTATATAAAATACTTTCAATAGCTACATCTGAACTGCAAGATTTGAGATCTTTGTCCGCTAATTGTCCAAATTGGGTAAGGGACAGAGTTTCTTTCTGACTTGTGTTCCCAGATTTCCCTTCCAGCAGCAGCACAAAGAGGAGATTATGCACATCCCAACCTTATTTCAACATGGAGCGCTTTCTAGTTCTCCGATTCAGACACAGTCTGAAAAGACAATTCACATAGATGTACTCTCAACCAGGCCCTTAGTTTATGCAAAGACTGCCATTCTGCTCTGCACAGCACCAACCACATTGCCAACATTGAGTGTGGTTCTGGTAGAGAGCTCTTGCATTTGCCTCCTGCTCAAATGAATCAAATAAAACTCATTTTTGCAGAAAAATTATCAGACTCAGTGGACTAGAGAAAGGGAGCTAGAATAAACATGACTGACTAGGCTATTGGGTTGGTCACTCACGCTACAGAAAAAGAGGTTTTTTACTCATCAGCACAAAAATTCTTGGAGACAAACTCAGAACTCAGGCCCATTCTTGTCCTTAGTGCTTATGAACTCAAAGTTAGCTTTAGCCAGTCCTTAACAAGCTTGTTGATTTAGGCACTTGGCCTTATCAGCCTATTGACTTGGATGTTTCTTATTTCAAGGAACTAGCTTTCCCCGAAGCTGGGGAACAATCAGTCATCTTGCATTGTGCAACAAGTTTCCCATCACAGCCCTCTAATGCAAAGCAAACGTTCTCGACCTTTTTGCCTAATGCAACTTATTACAGCATCAATAAGAAGTACGTGGGACATGCCAAGGCAGGTCAGTTGGCTCAGAGAGCAGTTGAAGCTCCAAAGCCCCATTAAGGTCTGTTTTCAGTCATGTTAGAGAACAGGATGTGTAAGCAATGCTGTAGACAATGACTCTCTGAAGTCAGAGCAAAAGGTTGCACAGGGAAACATCTTCCACCTAGTTAGCCATCAGAATATTTTACTTACACCATAAGACAGGTCTACAGAGTTGCCTCCATTGCTGTAGTATGACACCTCCAGACTCTTGACTTTCCCATTCTTCATGAAACCAACCTGTCAAGAGAGTCTCCTCAGTAATCAATTTTCTATAAAATGTTCTGTTTTGTGCCTTCCTCCAAAAACTGAATGGGCCTCATACAGGCAAAAGGCTGACTGTCCTCTGCTGCAGCATAGGACAAGCACAGAAAGCAACTGAGGAAGCTTCCCTGGAAAGGGTCAATGTATGCATCTTTAATCTCGCTCCAGAGAACTCTTCTAAAATAAGTGCCAACCACTTGTCACAGCCACTCTGTCCTTAACAAGTTTTTGCTTTGAAAAGCAGAAGCAATTGGATGGGGATTGAAGAGGAAAGGAAGTTCACAGTAATACAATACTGTAAACAAATGGGGAAGCATCTAAAAACAATGTGATTGTCAACAGGGTCAAAGTCTTGGTTGCAAGGAGAGGGGAAGTATTTATGCTGAGGTCACAAAAAGGCAACCATCCGATCCAAAAGAACATCTGCAGGACTTGAACAGGAAAAATGCTATAACCCAGCTGATCTGATCCATTTGCAGCAGGGAAGATCAGCAGTGAAACAATCAAAGCAGCGATTTTCTTCACAGTATCTTTCTACTCCAATGTTTCAGGTGACAACATGCATTCATTTCATGTGTATGCATACCTTGTACCTCCCCAGGAAGGGATGCCTCCCACCACTTATCAGCATGTCCTCATCTCGATCCAGCATGCACCTTACTGGGCGGCCAGTTCTGTTAAAGGATACATTTATCAGGCGCAGCCTGAAATGCACAATACAATTCCTACAGAGCAAGACTCTCCTCTTTCTGGTAAGCACTGTCTTTCCAGAGTGGTAATGGTGAGTTAGGGGTAGACTGCTTGGTTTATATATTTATATATGTTCCTCTTAAGAAAATGGCAAGACTGAGTAAAAAAAAAATTAAGATCTTAGAGGTTGGGATCTGTTTGTGAAAACTCTTGTAGACTCATATTAAAAAGGATAGTTTCTTACAGAGACAAATACTAATAACTGAGCAATCCCTGTTTTCCAGACTGTTTCTCAAGGCAGTCTCTTGACTTTACAAGAGAGAATACCATTTGAATTATATAATAATAAGTACTAACTAGCCTTCAGTTTGATCTTGGTTTTTTATTTGCGTGTTTATTATCCAAGGAGGAAAACAAGGAGGAGAGGAGGAGTTGCTCTTCATTTTCTAACAATTCTGCCTTCCCAGTGCCTTTCTTCAGGTTGTAAAAAAATCTAGGGAATGCCATAGATGTTTTTTCATAACCTCTGGGATATAAAAAAGTGGTTCGGGTGGCAGAGATAAAAGGCAGGAAAAATGCACGTGTATTACAGATCAATTAGAGAAAGCAGATGGCTTGCTCAGAACAGGAAAAATAAAGCTGATTTAAGTACAGAAGCTTTATTTTGGCTGTTCTCTTCCAAAGATACTTTATCAAATTGCTGCTCTGTTCCAAGACCCATCTAGCATTGCCAGCAGGGTGCATCCTCACCCACAAAGGCAGTATTGAGAAGGGCAGTGTTACACACAGTGCACAAACGTCATCTCAGAGGCTATGTTCACTACCAACCACAGAAACTTGGACAGTAAAGATGACCCCGTATCAAAACACCGGAAATCAGAAACATATTTCCAATCTACACAAATGGTTACAGGCTAGCTTAATTCCCTGAGCTTTTAGGGGCTTGAAAAGTGTGCGTTTCTGTTCAGTGGCTTAGGGAAAAATCCAAAAAAAAAGAGTTTGCAGAAGAGCAGAGAAACAGTGATGCAAGGCTAGAGTAGTAGAGTTTTGAGCAAAACAAGCATGGCTACTGCTGGCTTTTGAAAGGGTTTGGGGTGAAGTGAAGGGGAGAGGCAGATAATTTGAGATACAAGAATTTTCAGAGAACACCAAAGGAACAGCAGAGTAAAGGGCTTTTCACCCTTTCCTATTAAAAGCAGGCATTTCTGCATAAGCTTAGCCCCTCTGATCAGGTTCAATTCTCTTACCAACTAAGAGCCCATTAGACACCTCCTTTGGGAACTCCCAGGCTTGCTAGAAGCTGTACAGTTACAAGACATGAAGAGTCTTAAAAGTGCTCCAGTGCAAATGGTGCTCCAGAAACAGGCAGGCTGGGACAGTCTGAAACGAAAAAGCCCTGTTCCCCACACCCAAACTTACTTGAAGGCTGCGACAGCCACTACAGTTGACAAAATAGTACTCCTAGTCTCTTTTCCTCCAAATCCTCCTCCCATTCTTTTCACTCGAACCACAACCCGATTTGAAGGGACTCCCAATGCATTAGCAGCAAACTCCTAAAGAAAAACAGAACAGCAGAACATGTACAGAGCTGAGTTGGTGTTAAGAACTAAATACCACCACATTGCCTTTCTGCAGCCATTGCAACACTGCAAATACTCTGTTCTATTGGTCCTGCACAATTGGATTTGTTGCAATTGGAACCAATAAGCCCAATATTTCATCTCTGAGGTGGGAAGGCATATAGTGCGCCAGACAGCACCAGATTCAAGAAGAGACCGACATAAGATGAGGTTACCAAGACACAGGTCTCATTTAGAACAGAGTTTGACGTCCGTACTACTCTATCCATTCTCCTCACTCAATTATAAGACCTTTGGACAGTCTTGGTGAGTCAGTAAACAGGCCAAAGACACCCCATAGTGCCAGTAACCTATCTCACAAGATGGCAGAGTTAGTACACATCGTGTCTGCACCACCTCTGTTTCTGATGTGTCATTCAATAGCCATGCCTACTGACCAGCTGGCACCCTCTCCAGAAAGGGTTAAGCATGTAATCCCTGGTGACAGAGATGTGCTGCCAATAGAAACATCTCTGTCACCTGGGAGTGGATACAGGCCACCAGTAGGACAGATATGGACTTTAGATCCCACACTCAACTCTAAGCCTATGTGTTGTTTTTTCTTTTTTTTTAATTCAAGATAAGATGGGACCAACTGTAAAACAACTGTTTCCTAGTCTGAAACTGAGAAACAAACGCCTTTTAGGTAGCAGGTGAATGAGGTAGTACCTGTGTCTTCATTAGGTTTTGGGTCGACACGAACAGTTCCATCTCACCATCTTCCCCCTTTGGCACAGCCACAGTACAGTGAGTTTCCAGATAGAAATGCTCCTGCCCACCAATGTACATCTCTCCTAGAAAATTGAAAGAAATGCCTCAAAGATAGGGTGTCCCTGGAGTTATAAGGTGTCTCCCATCATGTGCTGCCTGCAAGCCACTGCCCTTTTGACATGTGTTAAATAACAAGCCTTTGCAATGCCCAGCACTAGAGATCCCTAGCTCTAAAATTGACACTTCTGGTTCAAGGTTTAAAAAAAAAAAAAAAAACCCACAAAAAACAAAAAATGAAAAAACAAACAAAAAAACCAAAAAAACCCCACACACACCCCAGACATGCTCCCCCTTCACTTTCTAGAAATCTTCAGTCCAAAACACAAGTGGTTGGCATTTAAAAAATAAGCCTGCATACCAAGCCATTGAGCCAGCATCCCTTAAGATGCAGTGTTTGGTGCCTTTCAGACCACTGTGATAAACCTGATAACAGCTCTAAGATGAAGGATAAAAATAAATCAAGTATAGTCTATCCAAGCAGATCAAATACAAGGTTACAGACTTTAAAACAGGGGAACAAAACTAGAAACCCAAAATGCCCTACGAAGATCAAACTGGGAATCAACTCTCTGTCACTGCATGTGGCTCCCTCCCAGGACATCTTACCTGGCAGTGCTGAGAGTACAATTTCCAGGCATGCTACACACTATTAAATGTGAGAATCAACCTCCTTTCTCAGTCATGGCCCTGGTCTGTTCAGCTGCCACAAAAATTCATCTTCAGACCAGTTCTCAAAATCCTGTTCCTCTCTTCCTTTTACTCAATTCAGCAACAACAATATAGCTGCCTTCATTAGGTACACCAGTGAGAAATGCACATTTTTGTGAGAGAATGCCTACTCTGGTGCATAGCAGGGGCTTTTCTCTTTTCTCCTCATCAAGGGGGCCTGCCTGGCATTCACACAGTATTGCAGCCTTTTAAATAACCTATTCTTCTAGCTCAAAACAATTTCTGCCTTGCCTGGCATGGTGTTTTCATTCCGTACAGTATAGTACACCATAAGAAACAGTTAACAACATCTTGTGACACCTTTGAAGCACCAGTGCCAACTGCTGACTGCAGTTGAAGGTCTCTGCAATGCATACCAAAATACAAATGACAGACCTGGAAATGGGTGTTTCAGTTAAAGAGCTCCCCTCTTCCCCCACGGGGAGGTATGGGGGGCATGCTTCTCTGATCTTTGAGAACAATCCCTTCACACCAGGGTTTGTGTCTGTAACTGATTTGACTTCCCTCTCAAATCTGTAGGAGGGATAGAACACCCTCTTATCAATAAATACATAGTTCTCCAAAGGTCTGATGTCCAAGACTCTTCCTCTTGGGAACTATTCATCAGTGATAGATACACCAAGAAATGACATAGATCTGACAGAGTATTCCAGTTCACAGCTCTGGCACTCTCCCCTCCTTACTCAGAAGTTTTAAACAGCTGTTGATCATTCCTATGTTTACCCATGTCTCTACAACCTGCTTGGCAGGCTCCAGCTGAATGAAATAAAAGCGCACCAAAAAACCCACCCTCAAAGACAGACCCACACTCAATGTTGATAAAGTGTTACAGGGCAGTGCCATGTTCTTTGTGGCACCTACAGCCACCAATGTAGATGGATCAGATTTTCAGAAGCACGTATGTCCCATTTTCATAAGACAGTCATATACCAGGTTAAAGGAAATTGGTTTGTATCCCTGTCCATAGCAGGGGGATTGGAACTAGATGATCTTTGAGGTCCCTTCCAACCCAAACCATTCTGTGATTCTATGACTGTCTATAAGATTCAGACCATATTATGCCTGAACAGGGGAAAGCTCCTATATGGATATGTTTCAGAGGAAAAAAAAAAAAATCACTTTGTAGAATACTTGCTCAAAAAAAACGTGTCCTTACATTGGAAGAGAGTGTTTACAGGGGCATCCAAGGTGGGAGCATCCAAGTCTTTTTGAAACTGAAAGTAAATCTTTCACAAGCTATTTGTATATATAAAGTTAGTTGAACCTTAATATGAAATTAATTTAGCCCCACAAGCCTTACTTTCACTAGTTCAGTATCATATGCATAAAAAGGAGGCTGATAGCTTGACTTCTTTTGTTACAAACTATCCTGTTTTAAAAGAAGTATTAATGCTTATTCTCACCTTCCAAAATGTGATCAGATTCTTCAAATCCTTTCTTCACATCTCCCTTATTAATCCTCTTTATAGACTTAAGAAAGGATTGTTTCTCAATAGCTTCCTATGAAACATAACACCACCATGAAATTTTTGTGGAAGTGGAGTAAAAACAAAGCTTCTGCTGACTGAAGAAGAAACATCCAAGATAAAAACCATAAGAACTTATCAGATGCTGACTATGGTAATAGCCAAGTGACTTGACTTAAAGCAGTATAAAGTTTTTGTCAACACAGCAATTTCACAATAAACACCATAATTCAGCAATCTTGGATCACTCCTTGTAACCCATTTAACATTAGGGACCCAGAACCTCAAGGTCTGTAGCCGCCAGAGCTATGACTTACAACTTATGTCAACTATAGTCTGTGGCCGCCCAGAACCTCAAGGTCTGTAGCCGCCAGAGCTGTGACTTACAACTTATGTTAACTATAGTCTGTGGCTGTGAAGGGCAGGGGGAAACGAAAAGGAAAAAAAAAAAGATAAAAAAGAAGAGACAGAAGGAGAAAACTAAATCTCTCAGATGGGATGAGAACTTCTGCAGAAATAGTTCACTTCTGAGGTAATACACAATAATCTTTCTTGGTGGAAGTTTTACAAATTGCATTTCACTTTTGCCAAAACAAAGCTTTCCATAATGAAAAAACATCCACAGAATGATCAAACAAAACAATCAGCACATATTTTCTCCACTCTCATCTTCCCTGGTTGAATAAACTAGAAGCTTCAGAAAAAGAGGTTCTCGCATGTTTTTTGTGAACCCACAAATCATGCAAATAAAACCAAAACCTCTGTCCACAGATGACAGTACCAATGTCTGTACTAGACAATGCACAGACTCTTTGTATTTGCATGAATACAATTCACATTACAAAACATGGTATGAAATATTGACCATTGAATAAAATTAGAATCCCATGGTTCCAATGTCTTCCCAATAAAAGTTACTTCATACAATTTTTTCTCACTTCCAGATATGAATACTGTATTAGATATTATCATTTGCTTTTACTGTCACAAAGAAATCTTAACAAGCCTTCTGGTTAAAAAAAGGCAAGAAACGATCACAAATTGTTGACATTAATTTCTTCAGCTTTGAGAAAAGCCACTTATGGGCTGTGTGTCCATACAGTCAGTGCAAATGTTCATAGTGAAGAGTGAACTCCTGAAAGTTAATTTCATCAGCTTTAGAAACTAGACAAGTGGTCTGTTGAAATCTCAGAGAAGCAGTGCAGTGACAGAGCTAGAAGACATATTTTCACACCCTATTATCGAGTGTTATAAATCAGAGATGAAGAATGAATGAATACCAATGAAGCCAGCAGGGTCATACTAGAGAATATGGAAAGCAAGCACCTGTGGGTAAGAATGTAACTGACAATAATCTTGCTAATTTAAACAAATTTGTGCTGAGCACAATATATCTACCAGAGTTGACTTCATTTGTTTTAGCACTATGAGGGCTGCTGTGGGGAGAATTA